GAAATCAAACTCTGAAGGTTTTATAAGGTCCTGCCCCAGGACTATGTGATTCCACCTCGCTGACAAGTCTGTTTATTTGTTTACAGCTGTAGATATTTTAGGACAGGATCCAGATGGAAGGTTTTATTTGTGAGGGCATAAGGTGAAGTAAGAAATGTTCACATGCTGCCTGGCTAATGGCTGATCGTAGCCTTCTCTGCTCTTTACTACTGGGCTTTGAAAAGGGCAAATCCATTTACATGGAAAGGTGAATCCATCAAAAAGATTTTGTCCCTAATTCCGGGTGTACTCACAAGAGTGTTGGTATCAAGAGTCACCTACCCCGGCTCCAAGTGCAGTAGGCTCCCACCTGAACGCAACAAGTATCTGATCCTGCATTCTCAGTGCCCAGAGGAGGCCCATCGCTGTCGTCGTGGCTGGAAGAGATGAATCTCTCAGTTGCTCAGATAATCTAGAGGTGGACACAGAAATAGCTAAGAGTGACCATGTGTCATTGTGGACACACGGTCCTTCTCAGAACTATCTGACATGAAGGCCATTTTCTCTAACCTGCAAATGACTACAGATTGAGACTGAGCTGAGACAGTCCCCAAGATGGTTCCTCTCTGATGCAGACGTGTGCTGGCTTGAGCTATATGTTGTGTCTTTGCCTTTTGCTTTTTCTTCCGCCTCCATTACAATTTTGATCCTGTGTACCTGAGCCTTTTAGTACAAAACTATAACTTTTCCTTTATCCAGAGTTCATATTTTGCCTCTGCCCATATTAACTCCTGCCAAAAGCCAATGGAAGCAGTCAACAGCTGCCAAGCAGAGGGACAGATGTGAACATGTTTCTGGTCGGCACAGGCTCAGTACAGGCGTTACTTTGGCTGTTGCAAGCTACTGTAAATGGGTTTTCCCTTTTCAGTCTACAAGCTGCCCATAAGACTCAGCAAAGTGATTACCTGACAGCTGTTTGGAGCCATATGCAGAATGAATTAAGTGGGTCTCAGCCCAGATCTAATGCGCAGGTGTCCACTTCCCATGAAACCACTGCTAAAGTTGGCACGATATAAGTCTTAGCAAGGAGCCAAGAATTGAATGGGCATAAAGACCAAGCTGTTCTCAGTGCTGCACGTACTTCCCCAGAACGGAGTTGACACACAAGAGGGGGGGAGCAGTTTTCCGTATATCAAATGAATAATGGGGGGAAGTGAATTCTTTGTGTATGAGACAGCAAGCGCTGGATCGCCTTTTATACTTTGCTGTAAGTAATTAGGGTGACCAGAGAAAATCTATCAAGCAAACACCGAGGAACTTTCAAGCATTGGTGCCCATTCAACCTGGGATTCAAATCCAGTGATAAGCAGGCTTAACTAGCATGGGCACAGATCCAGATGCTTCCTCACCTGCTCAAAACACTGGATATTTTAAGATTAAGGAAGATTTGCCATGCTCATTAACTAGCATGGTAAAGGACATGTTCTGGACAATCCTGCCTAGAAATAATTTTTGAATGTACAGGTTGGACCTCCCTCGTCCAGCACTCTCAAGACCTGAGTGATCTTGGATGAGGGATTTTTCTGAACCAGGGTTGGTCATTTCAGGCCCCCTACTGCTGCCCCTCCCCCCCAGCTGCTATTCCCCACCAGGCTTCCTGGCTCAGGCCTGGCCAAAGAGTTTGCGGTGCCCAAGGCAGCATGTTGTGGCTGGCTGCACTGCATGGCTGAGCGGCTCTCAGCCAGGGCAGTGAACAATCAGCTGGGTGGGCGGGCACTGGACAGCGTGGAGCTCTGAAGGTGCGGGGCCCAAGGCAACCACCTTGCTCACCTTGCCTTAAGGCTGGGCCTGTCCTGGCTCTTCCCTATAGCTCAGCTGAGCTGCGTGTTGGCTCCCTGCCCCCCGTGTCCCACCTACAGCCCAGTTGAGCCATGCACTGGCTCCCTGTCCCCCATTTCCCGCCCCCCCTCAGCCCAGCTGAACCACACAGTGGCTCCTGGCTCCCTCCTCGCAGCCTCTGATCCTGGAATATCCATGTCATGCCGGACCACGGATGTTGCCGGACCAGAGAATTCCGGATTTTAGAGGTGCAACCTGTACCTGTAAGGCAAAGGAGAAAAAACCACAAAATATGAGTTAATATAAAAGAGCAACCATATTTTACAAATAGCCTTCTTTTATTCTTCACCCCTAATTCACCAGCTTCAATCCCACCCCGATTGTTAGCTATGGAAAGATGCTGACTTCAGTGACCAATATGATATGAATTGGGCTACAGTTCAGTTCCTGCTAGACAGAAGTCTTCAGCACAAAAGCCTCTGCCATCAACGGTATCAGCTGTAATTAGGAGCCTGAGCAGCAGACCCCGAGGAGCAAAGAGGCCAGCAGTTGAAATAACATGTCATAGTTTGAATTTGTCCCCTCAGTTCCATAGTAACAGGGCAATGTTGGGGAGCCAACAGCAGCACCCCATGTCGGGTAGCTGGGGGGTTGGTCTTTGCAGCTGTCAAAGTAACACCTTGTAAGAACACTAAACAAAAATACTCTTCATAATAGGAAAGTGGACATCTGCCACTGAGTAATTTTTGGGCACAAAATAAGTAGAGGGACTAAGAAGAGACCTCCAGACATGTAAAATGGTGACCTAGATGAAGCCTGCATACTGCTCCTAGCTAATAGGTTGTTTTTGTTCATTGTCATACTGTGACTGTACTTGATTTATCAGTTGGTTTCAAACACACACACACAGAGAGAGAGAAAGAGAGAGAGAGAGCACTTAGGCCCAAGAACTCCCTGCCTAAACAAACCATTAAATGTTATGAAGCTGTCAATAGCAAAAAGGCAGAACATGGGAGAAGGGGTGGCACAGCTAGCAGACACTTTG